CAGGGCCTGGGAAGCAAGACCTGGCCTTGGCTCATAGCCTTCTGTGTGACACTGTGCCTCTTATCACCTTCTCTGGGCCTCAGTGGTTTCTTCCATAGTATGAAGGACTGGCTTGCTCACCTCCGAGATTCCTTGTGCTGCAATTTTCCAGGATTCGTGTCCTCTAGGACTTGGCCCTGCCCTCTGCCCCAGCACCATCCACTCACAATCACCCTCTGAGCGGGCCTTGGCCTGGCTGAGCCAGGACATGTGCTGACACCATCTCTGGAAAGCAGCAGCGGTACAGGGTGCACGAAAGGGGCTGCTTTGCCCAGTGCCCCTGCTTGGGGAGCTTCTCCAGGAAGAGGAGAGGCTGTGAGCGCAGGACAGCGGATGGCTTCGTGGGCGAGCAGGCAGGGTGACATTGGGGATATTTAATTAGCAGTTCAGTTCCAGTAGGAACCAATGTATTTGGGGCAGGGCTGCTGTGGCAGCTGCTGACCCTTCATTCTGGGGTGGGGGAGGGCTGGGGGTCCTAGAGAGGAGCCAGGGAAGCAGAAAGGGAACTATTTGGAGGGTTTGATGCAGGATGGGGTCTATTTATTAACTGCATTGAAGTATGTCACTGACTTGACAGCCCGTGTGACTGTACCGTGACCTGCTGTCCATCAGCTTGTTTGTGGGGAGGGAGGGTCAGAGAAGGCTGCCCAGGCCTCGTGAGTTGGTTTCTAGTCATTCCCGCCATCAGAAAAATTCCTTTTATTCAAAGTGGGGACAGGTCAGCGTCCTTGCTTTGCCTAGCCCCCTGCTGCAGGCCCTGGCCTGCCACCCTAGGACACCCCTTCTTCCCCGGGGGCTGGGATTCAATGAATAGGACTTCGTCTCCTCATTCCTTCCCACATGGCACCCTTGGCCCTGTGGCCTACCCAGGACAGGAGTTGGCCCTGCAGCTGGCCATCACAGACTAGGTGGCCTCAGCTCCTTGTTCCTCTGTGTCCACCTTGCTCAGTCCTCAGCCTCCCAGCCCAGCATACTGCTTGGCACCCCTCCCTAAGTCCCCCATCCTCCAGGTGAGGATCTTGCCCATCTTATTCCTGCCTGGCTGTGGAGGAGAGCATGGTGGTGGGGTTGGGAGGTGGGGGGCAGTGGGAACAGGTGCCATTTGAGGGCAGCTGGTGGGGGGAGACTCTGGATTCTTGGTGCAGGGCCCCTGCTCTGCCGGCTGCCCCGACTTCCCTGTGCGGCAATTTCGGTTTCTATTTTAAACAGTTTGGGTTGGTTGCTTCCCTGCCTTCCTGCTGGGTGTTTATAGTGAGCAAAATAATTGGTAATATTTGCACAGATGTGCTGGCACTGCAGCTCATCATGGGCACCTTTACCCAGGGGACCCTCCCTACCCCCAGCCTCTCTCTGCCAGCCTGAAAGGGAGGGACTGGAGCCCCCCAGCTTCCCAGGAGCCTCAGGCAGGAGGCACAGGCAGAGCTGGGAAGCAGGAGGCCTCAAGTGCCCCAGGCAAGCCAGAGGCAGGCCTCAGCCAGGCGCCCAGAGTGTCACTGAGCCTGTGCTCCAAGAACTGAAGGACAAGCCCAGGCTCCACAGGACGGGTCCTTCCTAGCGGGTAGAGGTGGGCAGGGGAAGCCTGCAGGGCTCCGTTTCTGATCCCCCTTTCTCCTGTAGAACCTGATTTGCGGTTGAGAGTGGGGAGGGAGGTGAAAGGGGTGGAAATAGTAAATCAAGCCAGGCGACTCGGCACTCTGGAGGCTGAGCAGTGGGATGGTTTGAACTGCGGAGTCAGGAGTGGGAGACCAGCCTGGGCCACATGGCAAGACCCCACCTCAAAAGTAAATAAGTACAAATCAAACCAAATACAAAATCACTTGGCTTTCTTCTTCTCAAGGCCTGGCATAACATACTGGGGCTGGGAAGGAGGTGGGAATTTGCTGGGCTGTGAGGAGTCTGCTTAGCCCAAGCAGAGCCTGGACTGGGCAGTGCCTGGTAATGTGATGAGGCCCCAGAGCAGGGGACCAGGTGAGACTGCTCAACCGCCACGCCCTCTTCTTACCCCTGCACAATGGGTGCTCAGGTGCCTGGGCTCCTGCAGTTTTTGTCTGTGAATGAAGGCATACATAGCTGCATGGCTGTGCATGCGATACAGGTCTGTCTGTGTAGGTGCATGTATGTGCAAGCAGGTGCATATAGGTGAGTGTGAACATACTTGTGTGCCTGGATTTGGGCTCCCTACAAAGCCAACCGTGAGAAAAGGGTTCACTGGCAGGTAGTTTACCGGGAGGCGACACCAGCGAGCAGAAGTGGGGAGGAAGACAGAAGCAGCAGCAGGGAGGGGCAGGCTGCTGAGCAGACTGTTGCTGTGGACCTCTGGGAACCAGTGTGGAATCGGACTGGTCTTCTTCCACCCAAGGGGCAAGACATCAAGGCTATTTACCCACCTACCCGCATTGGCCATTGGCTGGAGCCTGGGTTATTTCTCCTGCATTTTCTACTTTTTCTGGCTTTCAGTGTGCTGGCAGTGAACAGTTTCAGAACAAGTTCCCTTGGTGGGGTGGGGGTGGGGGGTTGTCACTGCAGCTGAATAAAGATGCCTTGCTCAAGGTCACATCCCTTTCGGGTGGCCCACATCCAGTGACTGATGGATAAAAAGGTAGAAAGACTCGGCCCTTTGCTCTGCCTTGTATCAATTCTGGAGGGCATCCTGGCTCTTCTGAGGGTTGGCCCAGACTGTAAGTTGAGACTGTGTCACAGTTGCCCACACTACCCTTCCATAAGTGCATAAATCTCTTCCAGGGACACCCAACCTAGGTGGTGTGCATGAACGCGTGCACATGCATGTGTGGGTGAGTGTGCAGAAGTGCAGAGCTGTGCAAGTAGGTGCACACAGAGTGCATGGTGTGCATAACCTACCTGTCCAGGTCTCCCATATTCAGTGGTCTAAAGGCCAGGCCAGTCCCTCTGCTCACCCAGGCAGGAGCAAGGTGGTCCAGGTCTAAGAAGATGTTGGGGATTTGCTGCTGAAGCTAGAGCCTGAGGCAGGTAGAGATAGCTTCCCAACCACCCAAGAACAGCTCCTGGGATGGAAGATATGGGGGGTGCAAGAATAGACAGCAGGGGAATGGAGCCGTTGGCTCCCTACACCCTATGTCCACTCTTGGCAGCTCCAGGCAATTCTGTGGACCCTTACAGCTCACATTCCTTCGAGTGATCTCTGAGGCTCTTGAGCCTATGAGGGATTTTTCTCCAGGCATAGATCCTGCCTTGTCTTACCTATGCAGGCCATTTGCCTACATCCAGAGGAGTACATCCTGGGCTGGCAGGGCCTCTGGTCACCCCTCCTCCTGAAGCCCAAATTGGGCTTGTCCTCTCCAGAGGCTGCTGGTGGTCAGAAGCAGCAGAGATGATGATGGAGGTCAATACTGGAGGAACATGGGATGCGGGCATGGTGGCCACAGGCGAGGACAGTAAGAGAGGCCCAGAGGGCACCAAATGTTACAGAAAAGTTTATTACCAGGATAAATAAATACAATAAGGGGAATTAAAACTGCCAGTGTTGCAGGGATTGAAGGGCTGGGTGATGCATAATGTAAGGGAAGATATGGGACAAGGATTCGTGGGGGGTAGAGCCATAACCCCATCTGAGCTCTGGACGGGGCACAGGAATAACCACATTCCCCAAATCTTGCAGCAATCATCTCGTAACTAGAGCCCCCAGGGGCCTGCCTTCCCGAGGTGCTGCCTGCCTGTCTGCCTGATGGGTGGGGGTGGGAGGCAGGTGTCAAGAGCAACCCTGACATATCAGTGACAATGCCCCTAGCCTGGCCAGGGGCCCAACCACTGAACCCCCAGCATTCAGAGATGAGAAAACATTACTGGCCTTTGAGAGAGCAGCTCAACCTTGCTCCTTATGTTGGCAGAGTACTCAGAAATGGCTGCCATTTGGCTCCAGCTTGAATGTTTCAGGCAGCATCTAAATAGCTTGGAAACCCCAGGGGGGCCCTTGCCACAGCCCTGCCCACCAAGACAAGGAGTTATGTGGAAACAATTCCCTTAGGAGGATTCTACTCATCTTTCTGGGCCTTGCTCAGAGGACCCCTCCTCTGGAAAGATCCTCCTGAGTTCGGCTGGCTCCTTAGCACTCCCCTCTCCTGGGACCCTCCTTTCCACTAGACTCATCCCCCCTTTCCTCGCCATCTTTCCTGCAGGCTGGACCTAGGGCTCTGTGCCCTGTGGCTGGGCTGAGAGCATGTTCTCTCAGTCTCCCTGGGAGGACAGCAGCTTCGGACACCCCAGGCAAAGCCCAGAAAGGATGGTAGGAGTGGGGATCTGGGGCACAGGGGGAGGCCCGTGAGGTCCAGCAGTGTTTCAGGGCCCTAGGTCTCTCTGCCTTTGCATTCGCCTTTTGTTCTTGCAGCTCCAGGGTCCTGCCCTTGGTTCAGAGTTTACATGCTGAGACTCCCTTCTCTATCCAGGGTCTAGTGTCTTACTTGCTCACAGGGGAGACAAACAGTTCCCAGAATCAGACAGTGCACCTCGTCTCCATGTTTTTCCTTCCTGACTGACTGGGTTGGGGCACCATGGGGCCAGAGAGTAGACTTGGGAGAAGCTGCTCAAGCTGTCCCCAGGTGAAGACCCCGATGGGCTAAAAGGAGTAGGTAAGGACTCCTGTCCCCTGGCAACCCCTTTCCTTCCCTGGAACCTCCTGCTCTTTCTCTGTGGGGAAGCTGGTGAGTAGCTGGTGGGCTGCCTGCAGGGTGGGAGACCCTATAGAGGATGAGCAGAATGGGCCGGGCTAGGCCTTTGTATGTAGGGTGGACAGCCCTGATTCTGCTTCCTGTCAGTGGTCCTGGCCTGCTCCGAGGCTGGGAGCAGTGGGTGGGAAGAAGTGAAGGTTGAGCTCTGCACGCCACGTTCATGGTTCTGGGGGCCAGGACTCTTCGTGGTCTGCAGCCCCAAGCCCCGCGGCTTCCTCAGGTAGACCAGGGGAATCAGGATGCAGGTTCTACTGGCCACTAGCCATGTCCGTTCTGGGACATGTAAGCTGCCAGAGCTACCACCACAGCCACATAGAGGCCAGCCCCCACTGCGATGGAGAGTGTGGCCAGGAAAAGGGCCCGGCGAGAGGTGGTGCTGGCCAGGCGGAAGTCCCCTTTGGAGATGGCCTTGGTGGTCTAGGGAGAGAGACGTGCTGATGTAAGGGAGCAGCCTCACACCCACAAAACAGTCCAGCCCACCAGGACCCCATTCTGCAGATGAGGGTGTCAAGCCCTCCAGTGGGGAAAGGTGGCCAGAGAAGCAGCCCTGGGCCCCTGGTGTACTTACCCCCTGGGAGAAATAGAAGGCAGCGATGCCCAGTGGCCAAAAGCAGCAGAGCATGGAGAACAGAGTAAGACCCAGGTGGTCCCTGGGAGGCAGCCTGAGGAAGTTGTCTTCACTTTCACTCTCTGTGGAGGTTGCCTCACTCTGTGGAACAGTGGGGTCACCCCAGCCCTGTCAGACTGGCAAGGGTTCAAAAGAAATAAAAAAGGTACTATCCAGGGCAATGATGTGGAGCGACAGGGAGTGTAGGTTGATCTTGCAGCTCTACCAAAAGCCTTGACAGACCTGAATCTACTCTTGGGAATTTATCTCCAGGAAAATGCAAGTCTCTATATCCAGGGATGTTCATCATAGCATAGCAATTGTGTGAAAGATGAGAAACACTCTCAATGCCCAGTGACCAGGAGATTGAGTTAATAAACGACAGAAGAAGTCATAAGGAAGACCACACAAGTTTAAAAAACACCTTGTGGAAAATATTAAATTATATGGAGCAATATTGAAAAACCAGGCTATGAAACTATGAATAGAAAGATCTCTTTGGGGGAAAGGTGAAGAGGAAAAAACCCATGTGAATAAAAAGAGATTTAGACAATCATCCACCAAAATAATAATGTTGTTTTTGAGTGATAAGTAGTTGTCATTTATCACTTGTCTTAATAAATATTCAACACAAGCTAATGTTTCTCTCTCTCTCTCTCTCTCAGTATTGGGGATGAAATCCAGGGTTACCTTTGCATTGCACTACATTCCCAACTCTTTTTACTTTTTATTTGACACATGGTCTTGATAAGTTGCTGAGGCTGGCCTTAAACTTACCATCCTCCTGCCTCAGCCTCCTGAGTCACTGGGATTACAGGTGTGTGCCACGGTGCCCAGCTAAGCTAGTGTTTTTCAAAGTGTGGGCTGCACCTGGGTCAGAAGAACCTTTCCTTTGGTGGCAAATAGATTCCTGGGCCATCGTCCAAGCCTGTTCAATCTGCATCTGCTCCTGGGAGTCTGCATCTTAAACATATCTGCTCACCTCCTCCTCCTCCTCCTGGCTGTCCTCCTGGCCCTGCAGCTCCTCTTGAACCCCGTAGGACACAGTATGGATAGTGACATCCTCTTCAGCTTGGCCAGGTTCCGTGCACTGCTCTGTAGGCCCTGCCTGGGGCTCCTTGGCCTCTGTGAAGCTGGTCTCACAGCTGCCTGCCCGGGGCTCCTTGACCTTGTCCCTTCCCAAGAGGCAGCTGGGCCGATACCAGGCCTCCACAGCCAGCTGCAGGGACCCTGGGTCCAGGAGTTGGTGGGTGTGAGCAGGGCCAGCACCACCCAGGAGGTAGGAGTAGAGCTTCTCCTGGTAGGACCAGCTGGGCGGGGCCTCTGCGTAGGGATAAGGGCTGCGGAGGTGGGCGGGGCTGTGGAGGTGGGCGGGGCTCCCAGGCAGCAGTGGGTTCTGTAGTTCACTCAGGCTCTCCATAGTTCTGCGGGCAATTGCCAGGCAGGGGAGACCGGGCCAGCCTCACAGCCCTCGCAGAGCCTGTTGGGAGAGCAAGATAGACACTGAGGCCGAGGCACCTCATGCAGGACCTGAAGTGGTTCCGAATGCGCGCTGTGCCTTCTGACTTGGCTCTCCCCTGCTTGCCACTTGTCAGTTATGGAACCTTGAGCTGGCTACTCCCAGAGCCTCAGTTTCTGTGTCTGTGAAGTGGGGATAACAGCATACTCACCTCAGAGAGTTGATTCACTCATTTATCCTCTAAACACATATTTATTGAGCACCAACCAGATATTGTACCAGTTGCTGGGGATACAGTGGTGAGAAAGGAGAGAAGCAGAGGAAAGGAAGGATGCCCACTTTGTCTCCATGGAGCTCAGAGGCAGGTGCAGAAGACAGCTGTAAAATATCATCTCTGTTCTAAATGAGAAGAACGGCAGGTGGGTGTTCAAACTGGACAGAACCAACAGAGATGCAGGAAAGGCTTTGGAGCTGGGTTCTGGAGGAGTGCAGGCTAACAGGGTGAATGGGACGGTGCTAGAATTTGGATCTGAAGTGTCTCCCAAAGGCCCGTGTGTTAAGGCTTAGTCCTCAGCTTTGCTTTTTTGGAAGGTGGTAGAAACCTTTAAGAGGTGGGGCTCAGTGGGACGCTTTAGGTCATTGGGGACATGCCCTTGAGGGGGCTGTGGGATGCCAGTCTCTCCCTCTCTCTCCTTTCTGCTTCCTGGCCACCATAAGGTGAGCAGCTTGCTCTACCATGTGCTCCCCACCATGATGTGCTGCCTCTCCATAGGCGCAAAGCAACGGGGCCAATAGATCATGGATGGAAGCCTCTGAAACCATGAGCCAAAATGATTGTTTCCTCTTTTTACATTGATTATCTTAGGCATTTTGTTGGAACATATTTCATGCAGAGGGAAGAACATAGGCAGAGACTCCTTGACTGGACAAAGGATGATAGGGATGAGAACCCGGGAGAAGGCTAGTGTGGTTCAGGGTGCAGAGGGAGGCATGATATGGGGCTTGGGGCTCAGGCTATGCAGCTCTGCTGAGGTCTAAGGGTGCTGCTGGGTTCTCAGCAGGGATGACATTTATTTCCTGAAGGCTTCCCCTTGGCTCTCTATGTAGAGTGGGTTGGAGATGGCTGACCTGACAGTATTAGGAGGCTTTCCTTATGGCTTCAGATAAGCCATAAGGGATTCAGTGGTGGTGGAGATGGAGAAAAGGCAATTTTGATGGCCTTGGGAGATATTGGAAGGACTTGGTGGCAGGGAGGAGTTGGGGTTGAGGAAGGATTTGTTCTGGGGTCAGAGGCACCACACTTAGTTTGGCACATGATCCATGCTCAGAGCTGTTAGGTCTTCCTAGAGGAGAATGCTTCCCCGAGAGTATAGTCCCAAGGGGGTTGCAGCTGAGGTTAATCTCCTCTCTAAAGCAAATTTTAGCTTTGGGAAGTTCCTGCAGGATTTAAGGCAGGGCCTCCTGATTGTGGAGCTCTGGACCTATACATCCAGCAGGAAGTGTAGATTACTCCAGGCTGCCTGCCCTCCTTCCTGGGCTCTTGGTAGGTGCTAGGCTGGCTTAAAGAGGGAAAGCAGCCCTCAAGTGTGTCTACCACAGACTCAGGCATTCTGGGGTGGGGCAGGTGGATGTGAGGGCTGGAGAGAGGGGAGGAGCAGGCCAGGTAGCCTCAGGGACCTCTTGCTCTTCTCTGGGTCCCTCACGATGCTGGAGGGTGATTGGACAGTGGCCTGCCCTGGACTTCTATCTGAAGATAGGAATTTAGTCCTGGCCCTGATGCCTTGGGTGAATTTGCCAGTCCCCTCTGAGATTCTTCATCTGTAAAGTTTGCATGATAATCCCTGTCCACCCCACCAGGTTGTCTTTGTGTGCGAGTGTGTGTGTGTGTGTATGTGTGTAGGAAGTAAAATTGAATCCAGTGGCTCTCTACCACAAAGCTATATTCTTAGCCCTTTTTAATTTTTTTTTTTTTAAATTTTGAGACAGGATCTCACAAAGTTGCCTAGGCTGGCCTTGAACTTGCCTTAACTTCCTGAGTACCCTCCTGAGTAATTGGGATTACAGGCAAGAAGTGGCTGAGGTGACAGTGTGATGTAGGTTAGTGACAGAGGCTGTTGTGCTTGTGCCTGGGCTTCACCCACCAGGGCCTTTTCTGGTCTCCTGGCAGCCACTTCACTAATGCTAAAAAGGAAAGAAGGGAGTTCTGCTCCAGAGATAATTTTATCTGGTCCCCCTCCCAAATCCCAGCCCCTATCAAGAATGCACTGACAAGCAGGTCTCCTGCAATCCCAGGAATTTGGGAGGCTGAGGCAGGAGGATCACAAGTAAAAAAAAAAAAAAAAGCAGGGTAGGGGGTGGGGATATGACTCAGTAGTTAAGTGCCCCTGGGTTCAATCTCTGGCACCAATCAATCAATAAACAACAAATTAAAAAGCACCAGTAAAATCTAGCAAATGGCCATTTCTACTTTTGCCCAGAGAAGTGGCTGGATTCTACAAAACTGGTTCATAAGGAATCTGAAGACTGAGAGCTGCTCCAGAAATAATGCCCAGGTAGTGGGGACAAAGAGGGGAGTGAAGGGAGGAGAGGGGGCCAGAAGACTAGGGCATGTCCATGGGGTACCAGGCTCCCCTGGCTGACCTGCCACGAAGGAGGGGTGAAGCGAGGAGAGGCTGCCCATGGCCCTGAGCTCTGAATCTCCATGAGGAGTTCTAAGAATGTTTGATGAAGAATCACAGAGGGCCACAGAGAAGGAGATGTGCCCAAGACCTGAATCCTCATATTGAGGGCGCAGATGGTGCTGGAGAAGCTGGGCTGCCGCATGCCTGGGGGCCCTGCTGATGTGTTAACCGGCTGTGAGTTTCACGTGACTGTTACCCAGCTGTGGCAAAAGCCTCCCCATCTGCAGGGATGGGGTGTGCAGGCTCAGGGCGCTGTTTACTTCTTCTTGGGTCCTTTTATGGTGCTAGGGATTGAACCCAGGCCCTCAAGCGTCCTAGGTAAGTGCTTTATGATTGTGCTACACCCCCAGACTCTTGGGTCACTGCTGATAGGGTTCACAGATGCAGGGCCTCTCCTTTCCCCTTTAGGGGTCCAAAAATGCAAGGATTCCCTTGGACTCCAGCAGAGAGAGCCTCTTCCTGCAGACCTGGACCAGAGGTGTTTCTGGCCAAGGCTCATGAGTTAGGCTTGTGCCAGGTTCCTCTGGGCGGATTCCTAGAAGGTCAAAGTCATCTTCTGAGCACTGCAGTGCCCTTCCTCCTCCAAGCATATGTGACCCACAGGGGTGGAATTGAAGGGCTAATGGTTAGGTGCCAGGTACACAGGGGTTCCATTCCTGGTCCACCTGCAATTGGCCGTTTTTTTTTTTTTTTTGGTACCAGGAATTGAACTCAAGGGCACTTAACCACTGAGCAACATCCCCAGCTCTTTTTTAATTTTTTAGCTTGCTAATTGGCTTAGGGCCTCGATAAGTTGCTGAGGCTGGCTTTGAACTTGTGGTTCTCCTGCCTCGGTTTCCTGAGCCACTGGGATTACAAGTGTGTGCCACTGCACCTGAATGCTATTGACCTTGACTAGTCCCTCAATCTTTTTTTTTTTTTTTTTAGTTGTAGATGGACACAAAATAAAATGCCTTTATTTTCTTTCTTTATTTTTATGCTGAGGATTGAACCCAGTGCCTCACATGTGCTAGGCAAGCGCTCTGCCACTGAGCCACAACCTCAGCCCTGGTCCCTCAACCTTTGAGTCTCTTCCATAAGGGATTGGAGGAAGTGGCCACTGAGGTCAACTGTGGCAGTAACATTCCTTGGTCCCATGACCTCAGAGCCCCACAGAAATGAATCCCCACCTGTGGCTTCCACTTAAGAGTCAGGGATGGATGAGCACATTCAGAGCCCAGAGAGATTCAGGGTCGTCATGACTCCCACTGTCACCCTTGGGCGGGTTGGAGGAGGCAAGGGAAAAACGAGACCTCTACTCTCAGATGGGTGCAGAGCCCTGCCACACCTCCAGGCTTTCAGTCCCCCTGTGCTGCTTGAGTCCCAGTCCTTCCCTCTCCTGCCCATCTCCTTACGCTCTGGGAGTCTAAGATCGGGCTCCCAGAGGCCTCTAAACTTCTCCTTCAACTGGTCTTAATGTATGCCACCTGGGCCTAGAGCCCCCAAGGTCCCCAAGCCTGGCACTCTGATGGGGCCCTGAGGCACTTTGTGCATGAAGATGCGTGATCCTGCTGAGCATGCACACCTGTGATCCCAGTGACTCGGAGGCTGAGGCAGGAGGATCATGAATTCAAGGTCAGCCTCAGCAACTTGGTGAGTCCCTAACCAATTCAGCAAGACTCTATTTCTAAATAAAATATAAAAAGTGTGCCAGGCATGGTGACACACACCTGTAATCCTAGTGGCTAAGGAGGCCAAGGCAGGAGGATTGCAAGTTTGAAGCCAGCCACAGGAAAAACATGAGGCACTAAGCAACTCAGTGAGACCCTGTCTCTAAATAAAATACAAAATAGGGCTGGGGACATGGTTCAGTGGCCAAGTGCCCCCTGAGTTCAATCCCTACCAAAAAAACAGAAAGATGCCCCATCCTTCCTTCTTCCTTTCTTGAGAACTTTTTATATTATTTTGAGGCAGGGTCTCCCTAAGTTGCTGAGACGGCCTTGAACTTACAATCTTCCTGCCTCAGCCTCTGCAGGCCTGGGACTACAGGCGTGTACCTACCACTGTTCCCAGCATGTATCCCGCTTTTACATATGGAAAAAAGGGAAGCAGCTTGAATGTCTAACAACTGGAAACAAGTTAAATAAATTATGCTACACAATATTGTGGAACAAGGCCTCTGAACAGGTTTACAAGGAGTAATGACATGAGAAAATGCTCATTGCACATTCAGTGAGAAGGAATAAAAGAAAATGCTATGTGCATGTAATCTCCATTCCTCCAAAATGTCAACAGTGATTA